ATCCAAGAGGATCAGCAAACCATGGCTGGACAACAGATTGGCACATGTTCTTGATGAAGGCAAAAGAATCAATGAGCCCAATTGGGAGAGGATAGATGGAGCCAAAGAGCTGAGTGATCTCATAGAATGGGACTATGCACAGCCCACACCATCAGAAGCTGACCTGCCTGCGATATCGGATGAGGACTTGTCAGAATGGGTGCAGGCTGGTGAGTTTAAGCTGCCATTGGATTTGAGAAGAAAGGCCATGTTGAAAGACATGCAGATGAGTGATGAGGCCAGAAGACATAAAGAAAAGATGAAAGCAAAAAAGGCAAGGGGAAAAGAGGAGAGAAAGCAAGCAAATAAATTGGAAGCTGATGAGAAGGAAGATATCAAGAAGGCTTTGATGACTGATAGCAGACATGAGCAAATGATTGCCCAAGTGCCATCAGCATCCACCAAAAAAAAGAAGAACCCTGCGAAGAAGACAAACCTTGCAAAGAAGATGAAGAAACATCTGCTCAAAGACAGAATCAGAAAGATTGCTGCCACCAAAGCCAAAGAGAAGATTAAGGATAAGCAGCAGCAGCCCAAGGCAATAGCTTCACATCCAGCCAAAGCAGAGCCATTGCCTGATGAGCCCCCATTGCCACAACCATCATCCCCCCGAGCGCCATTGGAAGAGCATGAGTTGGACATTCCTTCTTCCAAGCTGAGAGTGGTGAGTGTGGCCCTTCATTGTTTGGTAGGCAAGGCACTGCCATGGGGGCATCAGAGAAAGCATTGCGTGTGCTCCTTGAAGCTGATGGGCTTCATAAAAAGAATAGGACTACATGGGTGGATAGGAGCTACCTGGAGCCAGTGGGAGGGGATAAGAAGCAATGGAAATGGCACCAGCTGACATTGCAGAGATGGCACAAGAATGAGATCCAATATTAGATAGCATTTTTGGACCCATTTGTTTACCCCCCTTATTAGTCCGGTCTGTGCTGAGCATGTGCTTTCATTGGCTGATCTGAGGAAAGACCATTCAGATGTGGACATTGAGACTGTGGTCATTGCTGATGGTCTCATTAGATGGATGGCTACAAAAAAGACAATGGGAGACATCCAGGATGTGGAGTTCATCCATCCAACTGCGCTGCATGCCATTCTATCTGAGGATGCTCAATACATGAACCAAGCGGGCATCAGTTCATATGTGCTGAAGAAGATGAAGGGCAAGGCACAGCAGGGTTGCATTTGTTGACCATTGTTTGGTTGACTTTTTTGACAACCCTGAGGCCAAATGCTTTCTCATGCCATTTGCTGCTGGTCACCATATTGTGCTCCTGGTAGTGGATTTGAGACCAGGCATATCCAAGCAGGAGCAGATCAGATATTATGAGACACTGACAACTATGAGTGAGCCATGCTTGCACAAGGCACATGCAATTTTGGCATGGCTTTTGAACGAAATCGTGGATGAGGACTTTTTGATGAGGCCTCCATTGGACAGAACCAATGCCAGCATTAGGCAGCCAATTGGCTCCAATCTGTGTGGATGGTATATCATGACCTACTTGGAAATGGAGGTTGCCATGTTGACTGGACATGGCCCGCCTATTGGATGAGGAGGGAAGGCAAGAGATTAGAAGGAAGCATATGTGCAGAGTACATGCTATGAATTGCATGTATGTGAGTTGTCAATATGGATGACATTTTCAGCCATTTCTAAGAAATGAGCTCAAGAAAATGAGATAGCAGCAGCCATCTGGGGGAGGGACCGGTCTAATTGGGGGGGGTTGTTTTGGAACCCTTTTGTATGTAGGGGGTTTTTCTACTATATGAATTGTTTAGTATTGGGGGGGTCCACACGGACCGGACTAATAGGAGGGAATTACTAATACACTGTCAACATTACTCGGGGTGCTGCTGCGCAGGGTCAAAGGCGCGAGCCAAGTCGCGATGGATGCGTTGCAGCAGATGCAGCAACATGTTGGATTGAGGCAGGTCGCTGTGACGCAGGGCGTCACTATACTGGGCGGTGAACACGAGTCGGTGAGTCAAATTGCAACATCATGAGCAACATGATATGGCATGACATGACATGAAAAAGCCATGAGCAGCCATGCATGACCGAGCATGAGTCATGAACCGACATGGAACTAGCAGAGCGCACGTCGGACGAACTGGCAGTCCAAACGTTGTAAACTGGAGAACCCATCTTTTTGTCCAAAGATCAGTGAAGTTGGGCGTTGTGCCACATGTCAGTGAGAAGTCGAGTACCTTTTTGGCGTGCAGCAAGTGGGTAGGCGCAGCGCTTCACGAAGTTGAGTCTGGCAGTGAAGGAGCTCCGGGTAACATTAGGTGGTGAAGCCTCGAGGATGAAGAAACTGTGCTGTCGATGAAGGAGGAATAAACTGAATTGTCCGTTGGTTGACGTTGATCACAAATCCGAGAAAATCCTGGCCCGGCTCATCGACGAGGTTGACTGGTTGCACATAGAACCCAGCGTGCAGGAAATTGCGAAAAGCCAGCTGAAGGGTCAAGCGATAGGGAATGATGCAAAGCCTGTTATCCACATACCGGCATCGGTGCCAAAGGTACAGAATGCCGGAAAAAGGTGTCGTACCAAAGTTGTTCCACTGCAGCAACGGTCATCAAACACAGGGCAGGGCTGGCAGGGTTGCGCGTTGGGGAGCCACGGCATTGAGAAAAGGCATGAAGTCCGACACGAATGTCACGAAGTTGTAGAACAGCGTGAAGGATAAGGGGGACATCCGTGCACCGAATAGAATGCTGGTTGACCGCTGGTTTCCGATACCGGCCTCGGGACAAGCCGTAGGGCTTGTTACTTCTCGCGTAGATTGACACAAGCAGCAAGAAATCGAGCAGCGTCCACTGAAGCGAAGAAGCCCTCCAAGTCCTGGTTGTAGAGGACGTACTGCTCACACGGGTCGTTATCACGGAAAACTGTTAGTGAGCATACACCAAACATCGTAGTGCTTCAGGGACTGAGGGAAAGCCACGGGCACAAGGAGGTGGATGATGAACGCCAAGGCCAAGAACAGACGTCTTGCAAAAAATCGGCAAAGGATACAATAGGTCTGCCCGATTGGAACATCTTCTTCCGCTTGGGGAGGATGTAGGCAGAGGAAGTACGTCCGCAATCGCAGGGCCCACGCGTACTGCGGAAAAGTCGTACGGATGCTGGCGACGGTGTCATCGTGGGTCTCAAGAATGTTGACGTTGGGTATCGATTGAAAAATCTCCGGTTTGTTCCAAGTTTCTGCGAGCGTGTCTGCGTAGACGATGGGGCAGTAAAGCATGATCCGGTGGGCCGCGTGGTCTTCGGAATGACCCGGGGAATTGTTCGCGCAAGAGCTGCAGGTTGCCCTGAGAAAGCGTGAAAGGTCCCAGAGCAGAGTGTGCGCGCCAATGCAGTTGAGATCGTTCCAGAACCATTTTTGGATACTCTCGGTGAAGGCGGAAATGAAATGCGAGCGTGAAGGATACACGGATATCTTGGAGCTGCCAGAGTTGATGGTGCGTAAGTCCGATTCCAACTGCAGCTTGGTGGCGTCAGTAGCCACGTGTTGACGAACGAACGCGACAGGCGGAAGGTGTGCGAGGGATGGACACCGGCACGATTGAGTGAAGTCCTGGGTGGGGTCGTTTTGCCACTGCTCGACGAATTGACGATGATTGAAGAGGACGTCCTCGACGTGGGAGTTCTTGGTAGGACGGGATGCAGTGGAAGTCGGCCGCGTCACGGACCTGGTCGAAGATGGCACGGAGGTCAGAGGCTACATCTTGCCGAACTTGTTCATGAGCCAGGAACGGAATAAAGCACGGGAAGGAATTGCCAGGTATTGTGAGGTGGCGGTGCGCGAAAATACTTCGTAAGTGCGACAGGGCGATGTGGAGTGGATCTGCGGTAGGTTCTGGGCCAATTTCCATAAAACAGGTAAAGCAGCGGCAGGGAAGTTCCAATGCCTCAATAGTCTCTGCACTTCGAACGAACGGAGCTTGTTGCTGGCGAGGTCAGCCGACCTCCCACTGTCGTTGGTCCCGGAGGCGAGGAAGATGTAGAATGCCACTTTGAGGCGACCACCATGGAGAAAAGAAAGGACAATTCAAGGCAGGTTGAACCAGTTGTATGTATGGTGCTCTGCGGCCAGGAGATCTTGGTGTTCAGGTACACGATGAATTGGAAGAATACAAACGAGATGCATAGTCTCACCCACAGCCCACCATCGAACTGCGAGTTCTGCGTTGACTTGAAGTCCCTTACGAATTCTGGAGTGTTCACGTTCGGCGACAATGCCGGTTGTGCTGCCAATGTATTGCAAGCTGGACCATCTTGCCAGGTGGGTCAATTTTATGTACACAGTGTTGGAAGAAGAAAACTCAGCAAAGGAAATAGACAATGAAAGAGCTCGATCAAGCGAAGGCAGTGCGGTCCTCCTCTCCTTGGGCGCCGTGTCGTTGAGCCGGCTGCCCAGCCAGCGAGCGTAGTGAAGTATTGCAATCCTAGAGCCCTACGGCTGCCACGTTTATCAGTGGACTCAGCAAACCTGCACACTTTTCACACGCACTTGAGCCAAATGGTTGTTTAGCATGCCGAATATGCTAGTGATACCATGACACATGCAGACTATGCATACGTCAAACGTTTGATCATCGCCAAAGAAGGTCGCTTGTGGAAGCAACGATGGCTGTCTGGCGGTGCCCAAATTTCCGCCGGGCACTGCAGACCGCCACCGACAACCACCATCGGGAAGGTTCCAACCATCGAGCTTCTCTGCGTGTGAGACACGAATGCGTCTGATCTGACACCTCCCAAAAACTGCTTTGGACACACCTTTGTCGCGTCTTGAATCTTATGAAAACCATGATCGTGGGTACCAATCGGTGGCCAACTTCCTACGTGTGAATTCATTTGAGCACCCATATAAGCCAGGGAGTTGAACCTACAAAAAACTCGGCCAACGTACCCGTAAGATGTATACTTGCGGCCCTCCTCTCCAAGCAGCCGCAGCAAAGGCAGCAGCGAGTCCCGATCTGTCAAGAGTACCTTGCCGCCCCCGAAGCAGATGCATATGAGCATGTGTTTTCAGGGTGTCCTGTTTACAGGTTGGTTTCAAGCACAACCGCCAGTTTGGGAGTACCTCTGTTTTGACGTATCTCATTGTGGTTCATGCGAAAACCCCTGGCGGCTGAATGGGGAGTGCCGCTCCAACGCAAAGGATCACATGCGGAATGGGGCGAGCCTCCCATTAGAAGCATGATTTCGCATGCTTCAAAACTTGTAATTCTGGATTTCAACTTGCCCCAATAGACCTGCACTAATACTTGGAAACTCACGGACGGAGGTGGCTTTTTGGCTTCTTTTTGATGTTCAAGCCTCGGAGGGAGTGGAGGCGCGTGGGCTTGCCTTGCTGCTTGCATAACTCCACCGATGTGTATCTGATGTCCAAGTGATCCAAAGAACCCATTCTCAGAAGTCATCAGCCCTGTTCTCAAAGTTTTTTCCGAAATCTTGGCGCCTACGGAATTGTCTTGAAATGGGCTACTTGTTATAACTCCTTTTGTGGGCATTCCTATGATGAGTATCATCCTAGCTGTTCTTTTTCCCAAAGCGAACAGTCATCTAAAATGCATATCAAGCACCGACGGATCAACTCTAAAATCTCAGCCATGTTTGAACCTCCCATGGCTTGCCTTTTCATTTCGAATGTGGCCAAAAAGCAGGCATGCAACATGTTGGGTTGACGGGGGGCGGGGAATCGCAGCCCAGCCCCAACCTTCCGCGTTTCTGGCGGCTTTTGCCATTGCTTGGATTTTTTCATGATCCGACCGGACTAAGCCTGTCAGAGGGTCAGGAAAATGCCGCAGACTCCAGCCAGGCCGGGGGCTTCCGACAGCCCTGTTTTTCAGAACACATTAACAAGTTTCGGGGACCTTTGTTGGGTGCAAGTAGCCAGGTAGGAAGGGAACATTGCAGAGTAATGATGACCCTGAATTCCCCGGTCTCAAGTTCCAATTGGTTTGCCCGGACTTTCATGCTGCCCCGCGCTGTCGAGGGGGGGATGGAAAGAACACGGCATGTCGAGGCCAACCTGTGTTTCAAGCTAGTCGATCTCGACCCCCCAGCCCCGCACGCCATGTGACTTCTCCGCTTTCTGCGCGCTCCACGCGGCTGCGCAGTCCCATTTGCTTATCTGACACGCTGCCACTTTGCCACAGGTGGTTTTAGACACCTGGTGTCTAAGAAGGCTTGGGTCTTCTTACGTTTGAAGGAGCTACCTTCCCGAAAGCTGGTCTTTGTCTCCTGCGCTTTCAGTATCGTGCAGGAACGGAAGTTCTGCCAGCAAGTTGCATGCAAGTGTTGGTGGCATTCTGAAGGCTTTTTAATGAGAATGCTGCGCCTGCCAGCACCACGTGTTCGAATCTCAGAGAAGTTGGACGTTTCCAGACTTTTGTGTGGTCCCGCCGACGCCACGATTCGCTGCTATTCGTATAGGAGTTGCGCAATTCCCAACCCACGTCCAAGAGTGACCGTCATTCGGTCCGGGCAACCCCCCTGGCAAACCAACATGTTGCCTTCACGCGCATCAATTGCCCGTTGATTTGATTGGCCGGCGTGGGAGTTTTGGCTGCAAGGTATGTTGCGCCACGATTTTCGGTTGTGAAACTCTGTCTAGTAAACATAATTTCGTTACGGATAGCTCCGAAGCCATGTCCTTGCAGTGAAGCAGCTGTGCGTTTACCTGCATATTTCAGGTAGATGCTTAGCCTGGTAGTCTTGAACAGTCTTGCTGCATGTTTATTTAGCTAGACGACTGCTTAGAATGCATGCAACTAGCGCAGGGCATTCAGTGGAGGCGCATGCTCGTATACGGGCAGGTCCAGGACACCAACCATGCATGCACCTAGCCCGCGCACAGAAAGAGGGCTGTCCATCACCAGCATGCGCTGCAGATTCTCTTGGAGCAAAAAAATACAAGAGCCCCTTGGTTTGAGTTTGTCAATCTTTCCAGATTGCGTTTAGATTTCAAAGCTATTTTTCCTTGTAAAGTTTCTAATCTTCTTTCAGTTCCCGGATGGGCATTGCAGCGGACAGTGGAAGCGAGCTCAGAGGTTGCATTGCAGCGGACAGTGGAATGGGAAGCAAGCTCAGAACTGAGCTCCTCCAGCAGTGGGATTGTGAAATGACCCCATGAGCAGCAGGCGGAGGTGAGGCATCAAATCAGTAGTAGGATGCCGGCGGAATATGGCTGGTGCGCGGAGCATTGCCGCAGTATGATTCTGATGGTGCAGTGGGGCGGGCAGCGACCAAGTCAGGCAGTAGCCAGGTCTCCTTTCTGGAAGGAGCGCGCCAGTTCGAATGTGGAACTGGAAACCTTGCACTTTGAAAGGGGTTCTTGCCAAGCTCACGTTGTGAGATCCGACTTGAAGTGGCAGCTGCAATTCGGTCGGGCATCCGCCGGCGCATTCCGAAACAGGTGAGCGCAGAGCAGCACGAAAAGCTGAATCAATGCAGTCCCCAAGGCAATTTTCTTGTTCGCAAGAGAGAGTGCAAGTGTTTTCCGCAGCTGTTTCCAGCCCCACCAAACATGAAAGACAATCTTAGAAGCCGGTATGCCAATGGGCGCCTAGAGCCGACTTCGCGGACAGTAGCGACCAGCTCAAAAGCTAACCGGGACTTTCACAAGGCGGGTGTTTCGCACCGAGGGGCCAAAGCCATCAAGCAACCAGCAGCAGCTGCAAGAGGCTTGAGGGGGCTGGTGCAGGTCGGCTTCGGAAAAAAGGATTCCTGGGATCAGCAAGAAGCAGACAACGTTGGTCTTGCGGGTATGTTATGAAGGGCGAGGGTGGGAGGGGCACTCTGCGTTGCACGTACTGGAAATGCAGAGCGGATCGGCCGCGTGACCTGGCAAATGCCAGTATTTTCTTTTGTCTCCCAGCACCCAAAACCCAAAACCCTTCCCAGCCAACAGTCGTGACAGTGGCTTCGATTTTAATCTGTAAAGGCCGAGTGCCATCTCGCGTTTGCAACAGTAGCGCCCAGACCTTGGTGAGAGTCAGCTATGCGGTGGGCCTGAAAACTCCACAAGACGTCCGCTTCGGATGTCCCATATGGTGGACACCAAAGACACTTCCTTTCGGGCAGGAGCGCTGGAGATTGACTCCACCTCTTGCGGCAAATCCAAGAAAGTTTCAGACAAAAGATCCTGGAAACAGGCTGCCAAAGCTAAAGCGCAAAGTGGCTCTTGAAGTGGCCTGCTGCGCACAACAAGCCCGCGGAGGGACACACAGGACGTCTGCTGGTGGCGGTGCATCGGCAAACGCGACAAAAAGTTGTCATGCCACTGCCAGAGAAGCGTACGGCGGGCTCCGCGCCGGGGCCACCGGAGACGCGGCAAGAATGCATGAAGCTAGCGAAGCAGTGCGTGGACCCCACAAAGCATGTGGTAGGCAGTGATGCCAGCAAAGGTTTGGCTGCGTGCTACAAGGAGGTGGGCGCGCAAAGTTCCACGGCAAGGCACTGCAAGCCATAGGAAAAGGGCTCAAGAAGGCAGCAGTTGTGGTGTTGCAGCTAAAAGTCAAGCTGGCTCAAGATGTCTCAGGCGGCTAGGCAAGTATGGACAAGGCGACAGCAAGCCAACACGTGGGTGCTTCGGGCTTTGAGAACCTGTAGAGAGCAGACGGCAGATCCTGTCCTGGCTTGATATGTGATCAGCAGGCGAGACTAAACAAGCAGCAGGCGGGCGGACGTGACGTGGGCAAGGCTTGTCATTCCCGCCCCCCCCCCCCCCCAACCACGCCTCACCGATGCCGATCATCCCCCTGTGGTTGTTTCTCAGACCAGTTGATCTCCCGCAACATTTGGCTCAAGGCCCCTTTTGTATATATATCATTGAATAATGAATGATCGCGTGAAGCGAAAGAACCTTTGCAGGCCGCTTACAGGATTATCCACAAGACAATCCACCAGGGACAATCCATCCTCCAATCATCCACATTGGCATATTGGATTCTCTCCGCAATAGATCCAGGGACCAACAACGACCTCTACTACCACAGGGTACCAGTTCCCTTCTGGGATAGGCACCTGTGGTAGCGGAGCATCCGATGGAGAAGGCTTCATGGAAGCCTATTCAAGTATGGCCAAAAATCCAGGCTATACGGAGGAAACACTCATTTATCGATGACCGCCAAGCAGCCGCCATCGTACGACGGAAAAGTCAGCTGGTTCAGGTATGAAGAACTCGTGGACGACTGGGTGACCATCACAACGGTGGAAGCACCCAAGAGAGGACCTCTCCTCAAAAGCAGACTCACAGGAGATGCTTACATGTACAAGGCAGTCCTCCAAAACGACCTTTTGCAAGATCCTGATGAAGGAGTCAACTATTTCAAGAACACGCTGAAGAAGTACTTTTTGAAAGGTGCGACCAACGTGTATCTGTACAGGCTCCTCAGTTTCTTCAACCATAGAAGGCAGAACCAAGAGTTCCTCATTTTTACCTCAAAATTCGAAATCCTTCTTATGAGATTGAAGGCAGCATGGATGGACTTGATGCCCGTTTTCACGGCACAGTCCCCATCATTTCGACAGTCCGTACAGGACGCAAATGCAAGAACAATTGCTCGACATCAGCAAGCAGCCGGTGTTCGAGCACCGCCTCCAGCCCTGCTCAATGAGGACGATCCGACAGTCCTCAGACAGTATATCCAAGGAATGCAGGGCAGACAGCGGGACGCATTTCCCTTCGGGGATAATCTCATTGCACAGTTTTTCATTATTCAAAGTGAGCTGTCAGATCAGCAAAGAGAACGACTCACAAGTGCAATGTCATTGAGAAACATCTCACTAGAAAACTACTCCTATGAGATGCTGAAGACGCACTACCATGAACTCTTCATCACGACGAGGACATCGATCCAAGATCCATCCATCCGACCTCAAGGAGGCAACCGAAGCAACACATTCTTCATCATCGAACAAGGTGAATACGAAGGAGAAGAAGGCTTCTGGGTTGAGGATGAAGAAGGACTTGAAGGATTCAT